GATTTTTACCCTCAGGGGGGCTCAGAGCAATCAGGGACTGCATCAGAGGAGCTGCTTTCTCATCTCCAGCTGTCTTTTTCCTCATAAAACTCATATTTCTCCTGGCTGGGGTTGCATCATGCCCAGAATTCCAGGAGATCAGCAAAGGAAACCTTGGAATATTTTCCTTTCTGTCTGGCTGAGGCATTTCAGTTTGGCTAATTGGCCTTGTTTGTTGGTGAGTAGGGTGGTTTGTTTAAAGATTTTGTTGGACATGTCCTGTGAAACAATTATCTTTCCAGGTTTCTGGAAGTGGTTATGTATTTGGTGGATTTTTTTTTGGAGTTGTTTGTCAGGCTGTCACAGTTCTGCCTCACGTGGATTTACTTCCTCGGGAGATATTTTCCTGCTATATCATTTAGAAAACCTGGGAGTAGCTGATAGAAAGTTGAAAAATTGGGGGGAAAAATGGGGGTTTGAAGTGGATGACCAAAAAATGTCACCCTGTGACTGAGGAAACTCCCACAGGAGTGACAGGGATGTGGATTTTCCACCCTGCCAGTGAGAGAAATGAGCTAAAAAATTAAAAGGGCTGATCTTCCGCTCCCTGGGAGGGATGGAAGCTCCTTCCTGGGAATTCTACCTGGCTGGGAAAGACTGGATTCAAGGAATCAAGTGTTCAAATAAATAAGCAGCAGATTCCCCAGGCAAACTGCTGGTGGTGAGGCAGAGGCAGAGCAGAGATCCCTCCCCCATGGTGAGAATTCCACGTTGTTTGTTCTTCTCTGCTGGGCTGGAGAGTCTGGAGAGTTTTCCCTTTGAGGAACAAGGGTATAAATTATATTATTTATCTATTTTCTCTCTTGGTTTGTAGCGTAATAAAATCTGAGAGAAAAGGAGGGGTTGACACCTCAACCCCTGGGTGCTCTGAGCACCCCTTGGACGCCTCTTTCCTGTCCTCTGAAATATTCCCTAAAAACTCTGTGAGCTGAGCATGGGAAGAAGGAACAAGCCAAGTGACAGGGGAGTTCTCCAAAGATCAGGTCAGCCCTTGGATGCCCAGAAAATGGGAATATTTAGATGGGATATTGGGACAAAATTCTTCCCTGTGAGGGGCTGGGATGGATTTCCCAGAGAAGCTGTGGCTGCCCCATCCCTGGAATGTTCAAAGCCAGGTTGGATGGGGCTTGGAGAAACCTGGGGTGGTGGAAGGTATCCCTGCTCATGGCAGGGGGGTTGGAACTGGATGATCTTTAAGATCCTTTCCAACCAAAACCATTCTATAATTTTATGAAGCATTAAAAATCCCACTGAATTCCCGCATGAAAGCGAGAAGAGGAGATTGTGGGTGTGTAAATGTGAACAAAATCCCACTTTTACTCTGGAATGGCTGCTGGTCTGGGAGTTTAAAGGCAACAAATCAGCACTGCTGTTATTTTTTGATGTGTCATTCCCTGGTAGCTCACAGGAAACAGGACATCCCCGGGCCAGGAATGTCACAGTGTGGTCTCCCACCGAGGCACAATAAGAAGGGAGCAAGGAAAACAGGTCAATTCTGGATGGGGATTTTTGCTGCTCATCCCCCATCTCAAATCAGGGCAGATTCAGCTCCCCCCAACCATTCCAGCCCAGCATTCCAAACACAGCTTTCCAAAAGATCTGTGCCTTTATTGCCCCACTGACATAACCCCTGGCCTGATGTGATCCATGGAAATCTGCAAAGCAGGGAGGGGGATCCTTTCCCGAGGATCTGCCGCTTCCAGAGGGTTGTTTTTTTCCCTGCAATGCTGTTTTCCCTCATTCCAACCCAAAAGCGCTGGAGCTGCTTTGGCTTTGCCAGGCACCTCCAGAATCCCTCAACAAACTTGTTTACCGCTGGAATTCAAGTTGCTGTGTGGCCCTGTCGTGGCGTTTTCTTTTCCCTGGGAGCTCCCTGGGAGGCAGCTGGTTGCCCACAGTAACAAAATGACAATAAAAAACACCTTCTACTGAAAAACAGATGAGTGAAAAGTGTGTTTTGTTTTTGTTTTTGTTTTCCAGGAGCTGCCACTGCTCTCTGTTCTTCCCAATCTCCTGTCCCGTGGGTCACTCCTGTCTCTTCATCCCTTGTCCCAAGTCCCTCTCCAGCACTTTTGGAGCCCCTTCAGGCACTGAAAGAGGATGAAACATCCCCCAAAGAGGACGTGGATGGCTGGAGGCAATAAATTCATTAATTACTGGGCTCCTGCTTTTTTTTTTTCCCAAGGTTTTGTTTTCCTGTCAGTGCAGTTGAGTTGGAAATTGATGCCCAAAGAAACTCTTTCTATTTGCCACTCCTTGAAGACAATGTAGGATGCTGATAATAAGAATAATTTGATGGTGTTGAGTGTCTGTCAGCTGTTTTCCTCCAAGGAAGAAGAGCAGGTTGAGACTTAGGTTTTATTCCAGAGTCTCCACATGAATCTGTGAGATGGCCATCGTGCTTTGCCTGGGGGTGGAGAGGCCGAGGCTGAGATGATATCTGGGAATTGTTCCGTGCTGAGGGGAAGGAATCACTGGGTAAAAGTTAGAGAGGGTTGTTGGATGTCAGGACTTCCATCCAGCAGATTTTTTTTGTTTTTTAAACCTCATTAGAGCACCGCACCCTTTCCTTGGACTGGTTTTAAAATACCTCCAGAGCATCCTTTTGGCTGACAGTCAAAATGTCCCTGAGCCTGCCTGGGTGTGGGAACCCTGTATGGGTAAAAACCAGCTGATTTAGTCACATTTAGAGAATCCAGAGAGAATTTTTGCAATACCTGCACTTTTTTTGTGCATAATAATGTGTGCCAGCAGTGCAAGCAAACCCTCTTGGCTGCTGGGCCCTGAAAACATCAGCAGCAGAGGCAGTAATGTTTGTACCCAACATTACAAGCAACTCCCAGTTCTAGTCACTGGGAGTATCCTTGGGAAGAGAAAAAGGGAGATAAAATGATAGCTTAATGTGAAAAAGATTTGTCCAGTGTCCAGTGTTAGAACAGGAAGCCATAAAGGGGGAAAATATCCCTAAAAATCCCTTCTGGAACGACAGGAAATCCATCTGCTCGACCTTATGCTCTTCACCCAGCTTGCACCTTCACGACATCTCTCTTAAAGGAGCCTAAATAGGAGGACCAAAAGACCAAGTCTCTGCCAAAATTGGGCCAAAAAAGTTTCTGCAGGAGGCACTGAAGCCTTCCACAAGTCCCAAGTGTCAGACATTGTCCCATGGATTATTAAACTGCTGGAAGTTTTCCCGTGGGAAGGATGGGAACAAGTTACTTGAGAATTAAATACGTGAATTCCTGGTTTTTTACCTTCCTACAGCCTCCTTAGCAAGTGTTTCTGTGAGCTGCCTCCACTGGATGAGAAAACGAAGGGAAAAAAAGGAATGCACTGGATGCAGTAAAAGGGGTGATTGATGCTGGAAATGCTCCCAGGTTTAGGAATATTTCCCCTCAGCTCCTGAAAATCAGAGGAAAACATAAAGTTAATTAGCCTTCCTTCTTCTGCTCAGGAGCTGGTGCTCAGGGCTGGGGTCAGTCCCTGCCTTTCCTGCCTTCTTCCCAAATCACTGTAAATCAACTGTTGGCAATGGACACAAGGGGAATTTCCTGTGGAATTCAGGAGATCTCTCAGCTCTTAACAAAGTTCATTAGCACAGGACTAATCACTAGCACTAATTTCCTTATTATTCAGCACTTAAGGAGTGAAGAAAGGAGGAGAAGAAATCGAAGTCGGAATTCTCAACTTTATTTAATTTCCTCCCTCCTTCCTTTCCCAAAAGTTTTCTTCGATCCAAAGTGCTCAGAGCGGACTCGCTGCTTGCAAACAAATGTTGGGAATTACCTGAGGTTCGAGATAATTGGGATGAGGGGGCTGTTTCTGTTCAAAACGCCTCGTTTTGTTCCGGGATGGTTAATAATTTCAGTCCACGTGACTTGACTGTCTACATGAACACAATTCCCCAAGGTGGGTGTGCACCTGTGAGTGTGCAAAGGGAGCAAATCTGCAATGATCCTGCTTTTATACACAGTCAGACCCAGGAGAGCGAAAGCAAATGGCCTGAAATTAAAAACTTGCTCGCTTGAATCATTTTCTAAAAGACTACTTATGCTATTAAGTCCTCATCCAATCAATACATCACTTGACTTCAATTTAAATGATGACATTTTTTTCTTCCTCCCGTGTTCCTAAGTCTAATTAAAAGGAATTAGTCACGAGAGTGACAAATTTTAAGCCAACTCCAGAGTGACTTCATGTGGCATTTATTAAGTATCAAACACGGGAAGAGTTTTAAACCAAACTGGCAACTACACTAAAAGTAATGTCTTGGCATCCAAATCCTTTCTTAAAATTAAGTCATTTGTTATTTGGGGGTATTCTTTTTTTTTTTTTTTTTTCCTCAAATAACTTCTTTTTCTGCACTTTCTTTTCTGTTAGGACTGGAGGAGACAGAAATTGTATAATAGTGAGTAATAAAATCTGTCATTCTCTTGAGTAATGCTTTGTAATTAGAATGAAATAAAAGCAAAGCAAGTACAATGGTGCGTGGAGTGCAGGGCTGGGGGTGTAGTGCTGCTCTCAGAGGGTTTAATGTTAATAATGGTGCTGAATTTTCAAGGCTGGAAGGTTCTACTTGAATTGGCATCCGAAGGTGAAGTGGTTTACCTGCACTTTCGGTTCCCAGCCACAGAAATCCTTCAGCAGGGAGAGTTGGGATGATCCCCGAGCTTTCATCGCTTCGAGGCACGAGCTTTGGGATGGAAACCCAAAGGCTGTGCAAAGCAGACACTAGGTGGCCGAGTTCCCCTCTCAAACACTCACCTACATCGGGTCACGCTCTGCCTCCTCTGGGATTTATTGATTTGTTATATTTATTTATTTATTTATTTCCCTCTTCGGGATTTGCCGTTCCCCAGAACTGCCCTTGCCGCTCCGTTTGGGCTCCTCCCATGTGGAAATGGCAGAGCATTTGACAGGTGAGGTTTTATTTGAAATATTTCAGGCTCATCGAAGCTTTAAGGTGCGAAAAGACCTCCAAGATCATCAAGTCCAGCCTTTGACTGAACACCACCCTGTCCACTGAACCATAGCATGAAGTGCCAGGACAACTTGATTTTTGAGCACTTCCAGGAGTGGTGACTCCACTACTTCCCTGGGCAGCCTGTTCCAATGTTTAACCACTCTTTCAGCCCAGAAATTTTCCCTAATACCCAACCTGACTCCCCTCAGGTGCAGCTTGAGGCCATTTCCCCTTGTCCTATCGCTTGTTGCCTGGGAGAAGAGTCCAACCTTCACCTGGCCCTCCTTTCTGGGAATTGTAGAGAGCCAGAAGGTCTCTGAGCCTCCTTTTCTCCAGGCTGAGCCCCCCAGCTCCCTCAGCTGCTCCAGCTCCTTCCCCAGCTCCCTTTCCTTCCCTGGACACGCTCCAGCCCCTCAATGTTTCTCTGCTTGTGAGGGGCCCAAAACTGATCCCAGGATTTGAGGGGTGGCCTCACCAGTGCCCAGTTCATCCCATAAACTTTGCTCCAGTCCAGAGCTGTGTCTCAGTGACTGGCAGCGTGTCCTCAAAGCCAGGATCACTTTCTGTCACTTTAGATTGGTCCTTTCCTGGGTTTCTCCAGAGCCAGAGGTTTCACCTGTTGTGCCCTCTCTGGTCCTGGAGCAGATGGCCCTGGTAGGGCTGGGAATTTTGGAAGATGGATCTTTCCCAGCCCTGGGCAAGAGAGATGAAGGATCTGCCCCGGGACTGGGAGTGCTGGGAGCCACCTGCAGCTGCTCAGTGCAATTATCACTCTCATTAACCAGCATTTAACGGGCTCACTAATTGCCAGGCAGTAATGACATGCACAGGATTGTCAGGTTTGCTGAGGAACTTCTGGGATCTGGGAAGTTTTGTGGAAATATGGATGATTTTTTGCTTTCTTCCTCATTTAGAAAGTGTTTTCAAAGGAGCAACACACTTTAAATCCTGATTTTTAGTTAGCTTTTCTTCCTACTTCTGTCTCAGAGATTCCAGGGAATATTGAGTCCACTGCCCCCATTTTTAAAAATACACTGAAATACAATTACTGCCACTTTTTGTAAACGCTTATTTCAAAGTTAAATCCAACTAAATCCAATTCCCAGGTTTTTTGATTCGGGAATAACTTCCTCTTGCACAGCTCAAAGCTATGAAGTTTTCCCTCCTTGATATCTCAGACATTCTGTCAAAACCCTGAAAAACTACACAAGAAATTTGCTCTTTGTACCCTCAAGTTCACACTGAATGAAAAAATCACGGAATAGTTTGGGTTGGAAAGGTCATCCAGTTCCAACCCCCTGCCGTGGGCAGGGACACCTTCCACCAGCCCAGCTTGCTCCAACCTGGCCTTGGACACTTCCAAGCTTCTCTGGGCAACCTGTGCCAGGGCCTCCCCACCCTTCCAGTGAGGAATTTTTTCCCAATATCCCATCTAAACCCACTCTCCATTTAAAGCCGTTCCCCTTTGTGATAAAAGGATTGAACAATGATTGCTCAGAATCTCTTTTTAGGGCGATTCCAACGAAGACACAAATCACTGCAGATCCTTCCCTCCTCTTTCCACTGGATTGGCTGAGACAGGTTTTAATTGACGAACCGAGGCAGGTTTCAACTGACGAACCGAGGCAGGTTTTAATTGACGAACCGAGGCAGGTTTTAATTGATGGACTGGGACAGGTTTTAATTAATGCAGGATGTGCCTTTTTGTTCCTTGACGTGGCAGCAGCTTCGCTCCGGAAGGACACGTGGTGACAAACCAGAGTGGGTTTAATCTTCATGACTTCCTTTATCAACCAGACATGAAACCTCCTGGAATAGATAACAGGTTCCTTTGACAAGACCTACTTTCCAGGGAACAATGTCATCTGGTGCAGCAGAGGTATTTTTAACTTGGAGTTTTCTATTTTAACTTCTGAGTTAACGGTGATTTTCCTGGTTGAGGATCAGACTTCACACTCCCAACATTTCGCTCCTGGAATCGTAGAACACCCTGAGCTTGAAGGACTTGATAAAGTGTCCACAATTAATTCAATCCCAAATCAGCTTCCAGAACTCTGTGGCTTTTTCTGTTGGAGCATCAACTTCCACGCTGCCAAAATTCTCATATATTTCTTTTTTTTTTTCAATTCATTTCACATTCAAATGTGGCCTCAGTTGGTAGAAATTAAAATTGAGGGAGCTGCTCTGGTGGAAGGTGTTCCACCCCATGGCAGGGGGTTGGAATGAGATGATCTTTCAGATCCCTTCCAACCCGAGCCATTCCACAATTCCATAAATATTTATAGGTCAAGTTAAGTCTATTAAACATTTACTGCCACGACAGGACACACTCCTAAGGATGCAGTGGGAACATTGCAACACTCACTGTGGGTATTTTGACTCGGGATCCCAAATGATGGGAGAATTTCGCTGCATCCAGGTGTTCAAGCCCCTCTTCTTCTACATAAAGGACTTTACAGCTGCTTTTTGCCACCCTAATTATGTGTTCAGGCCCCGTTCTGCCTCGAAGACTGGCTCAAAATCCCACCTAGTAAAATGCAAAAGATGAAAACAACCTGTTATCTCCGGGAGATGCCCTCTGCAGATGGCTGGCTGAGGAAAATGCCGCACCAAAACGCCTCAATTCTCTAAAAAATCAGCAGAAAGGGGTTATTTTCTGCTCCCCGGGGACCCCGTGATCCAAGAGGCGCTTCCACCCCTGTTTCTTTTCCACGGAGAGCGAGAGAGACGCAATTTTCCTACTGGCACATCAAATTCCTTAATCTGTTTGCCCTTTCTGCAGCAGAACCTCCACTTGGTAAATAACCTGGGGATGGGGAGCAATCAAAGCAGTGGAGCAAAGCCGAGTTATCAGGAACTTTTCGAAACGCGGGAAGGAGCTGAAAACCGGGGAGATGGAGAGGAAAGGAACAGAAAAAAAAAATACCATCCCAGGGGCACATTTCCTTGCTCACTAGGCAGCAGGTTGAATAAGGTACAAATAAACTGTCATCTTAAAAGGTACCAGGCGCTGACGCAAAAGGGAAGTTAAAACAGCAGCTCCTCGGATATTCCCAGCAGCGGATTTTGCTGCTTGGCTGCAATCCTGAAAATTGGAGTTGGGTGCTGGGCTCTGGCAGGGATTTTGCTGCCAGGCAGCTCATGTTCTGCTTCTCTTTGCGCTCTCTTAGATCTTGATGGTCCCTGTTCTGACTGTGCTGGGGTGTGTTTATTTATAACCGAAATTTCCAGATGGTTGTTGCTGGCAGACTTGGGGCTTAGGGAGGTCGGTTTAACGTTGGTGAACTTGTGGTGACCATCCCCCCTTATGCAAACATGTAAATATGGGTTTAGTCCGAGTTTTGAAAAGAGGGAAGTTGCAGGAATGTTGCTCCATGCCTGGAAGTGTCCAAGGCCAGGCTGGACGGGGCTTGGAGCAACCTGGGCTAGTGGGAGGTGTCCCTGCCCATGGCAGGGGGTAGGAATTCCATGATCTTCAAGGTCCCTTCCAACCCAAACCATCCCGTGATTCTTTGCTTCTAATATTCTATTATGAACCCTGTTTTTACATTTTCCACCATATTCCCATTACTGGCAACTTCCACAGGATTTTCTTCTCCTGTGACACCATTTTCTTCTCTGGTCACAAATTTACAGTCTTCAGCAAAAGTTTCTCCTAAGTCTGCATGCAAATGCAGGCACAGACATGAATCAGATTTAATCTAAAGCTTTTAAATGCAGATCCTTCTCAGATCCCATCAGGATTAGGCCGAGGGCTGAACTTCATCTTGGCCTGCTCAGGAACACAGAACTCAACGTGCTCCAATAAATTCTGCACTAGTACACAGCACTGGGCAGTTTGTCTGATTAGAAAAACTTTTAAGTTTAGGAACAAGTTTAGGAACCTGAAGTTGGATGGAGAGGGGCTGTGGCATTCATGGCTCCGAGGTTCTCTTCACTGAATTCAGGATTGCTGGACCCTGGGGTGGGAAACATGGAAGAGATGGGGCTCAGATCCAGACCTGGAGAATAAAAGGATCCAGGGTGAACTTCCAGTGCCTAAAGGGGCTCCAGGAGAGCTGGAGAGGGACTTGGGACAAGGGGTGGAGGGACAGGACACAGGGAATGGCTTCAAACTGACAGAGGGAAGGTTTGAATGTGATACTGGGAAGGAATTCTTCCCTGGGAGGGTGGTGAGGCCCTGGCACAGGTTGCCCAGAGAAGCTGTGGCTGCCCCTGGATCCCTGGAAGTGTCCAAGGCCAGGTTGGATGGGGCTTGGAGCAACCTGGGATAGTGGGAGGTGTCCCTGCCCATGGCAGGGGGGTGGACCTAAATTATCTTTAATGTCCCTTCCAGCCCAAACCATGGTGTGATTCCATGACTATGGAAGGTACCACAAGAAGCCACAACTTTGCCCCACAGGAAGGAAGACATTTGTGAAAAGTCTTCCTGAGGCTGAGGTTGGTGAAATGGAGGTTTGGGTTGCCCAGGAATTGCAGCTCCAGCAACAGAATTGCTTGAGATCAAGTGAGATGGATTTCTGCCAGGAATGAGGGAGGCCACGTAAACAAGCGAGAAGGGACATCATTTTAATAATTTTAAGATCTTTATGTTCATAATTTTAAGCTCTCAGGTTTAGGAGACATTCAGATGAAAACTGCTCTGCAAACCAGAGCCACCTCTCGCTTGGTGTTTACTGGGACTGAACAAAGAGACTAAATCAGTGTTCAAACAAAACCCTCAAGATGAAGCTGAATGTTCCAGGCACCACTGAAAACAAAATTATTTTTACTACTCATTGTTTTGTAGTTCACTACAGGCAGCAATTTGACTTTCTTAGAGCAGAAATGACCCTTTTTGGCTATAAAATCCCCTTACCCAAGTTCGAGAAAGAAAAATATCACGCCCCTTCTCCCCCCCTAAAAAAATGCTCTCAGGCTCATAAAGACCAAACAACCCCACCCAGGCAGCCCTGAGGAATCCAAGTTCCATTTCTGAAGTGGATACCTGGTTTTAGCTGTTTTCACATCCATTTTAACCTGCAAACAAACCCCTTCCTCACCTCCTCAGATGAGATCCAGACATCACTTACTGGAAAGGAGATAAATTCCCTCCCAGGGAATGTCCCACTTCAGTGCTCAGACTTTGATTCCTGCTCCAGAAATCTTGCTGATGGAATAAATCATGTTTCCAATCAGAAAATCAAACTGTTTTGTGTTTTTTTTTTTTAAAATCAGATGCTTCATCTCCCCCACATCGAAAGGGGGATGTGTTTTCCCCCCACCTCGTGTGGTTCACACACAGGATTTGCTCTGCTTAGGGGTGTGTAAATCCCCTTTCAGAAGGCAGAAATCCCAGTTCCTCCAGCGCCTCCAAGTCCACTCTGGGAATCTGGGATGGGAACTTCATCTCCATGAAGCACAGCTTCGGAAATCGTGAACATCTTGAGGAACTTGATGGAAAATTTGGGGCAAGGCAGAGTTATTTGTTGACCTGCAGCTCTCCCATCCTCCTGGTTGGCCAGACAATTAATGAAGGATGTGTGGGAAATTCTGACAGGAGCTGCCAACCACTCAGAATATTGATGATGGAGGGAGAAAGAGGCTCCCAAAGAATTTCTGGAAGTGGGAAACTTTATTAGGAGTGTGGATAAAAGTACCCCCAGACTCCATTCAGATCCTGTGTCTTCCACATTTTCTAATAAACACATCTTGATATTAAACTTCTTAATATGAAACCTGTGTGGAAAGTGGTTTATTATTTGTCTATTGTACTGCAGCATTTGGAGGGGGAAAAAAAAAGCCCAACAGCATATTTTGCATAAAATGTGATCAAACATTGTTTTTCTCTGCTAAACTGGAAAGGAGACAATGCTTTCACTCCAAGGGAATGTTCCACTTCGGTGCTCAGGCTTTGATTTCTGCTCAGAGATCCTTCTGATGGAATAAATCACATTTCCAATCAGAAAATCAAAATATTGTTTTAAACGAGATGCTTCATCTCCTACACATTTTCTGCCTCCTGCTGTTTTTTGTTTGTTCTGTCTGAGACCCAGTAATTTGTGAATTAACACAAAGTCTGGAATAATTTTCAATTTACCAAACAGGATTCTTTTTTAATGTTTTTTTTTAACCCAAGAATTGAAGTTTAGGGAAAACTTCTGGTTGGAAAAAGTTTTCCTTTTGCACTGAGTGCTCTTCAGAGCTGTGACCTCCACATCAATCTGTCTGGGACATGATATTGAGCCTTTCACAGCTACTACATCATGAATTAAAAAACCCATAACTTTCAATTAATTACGACTTAAATATGCCTTATTGAAATTTCTTACCATGTTAAACTGGATTTAGAGATGAAAACCTTCAATCTAAGGATGTTCCAGGGAACAGCAAACCCCAACCTGGCCTTGGACACTTCCAGGGATCCAGGGGCAGCCTCAGCTTCTCTGGGCAACCTGTGCCAGGGCCTCCCCACCCTCAAATTCAAGAACTTCTTCCAGCAACTGTTCCCAATCTGATCTGGCTGGATCTGGGCACCCTCAGCAACTCTCAGGGAAGGTGGTGGTGAAGTTGGGCCCAGATCAGTAAGTGCAAGGAGAGGAGTTTATTGAAAGCTCTCTTAAACGATGGAGGAATTGATTTTTTTAGATGACTCCTTCCACATACAAAGTGGATGATCATCTGGAGTCTCTCTTCAGTCAGCAGAGAGAGTTGGCTCCGTGGGACAATCACCACTTTCCTGGGAGTGGAGTCCAAGCTCACAGCATTTGCTTGTTCCAGGTGTCTGTGCTTTCCCATCAAAGCAGTAGTTCATTGGTTAAAAAAGCACCTTTGTTGTCCAAAATGGAGGATTTTTTAGGTTTTCAGTTGTTTCCAGAAACACCTGGATTTGGACACTCAAATTTGTCCATCTTGGATGGGCCACATTTCCCTGTGCCTGAGGATTTCCACCACCAAGAGCTCTATTTCATCTTTGGACTGTAAACAAAATTCACCCTTGGGGTTCCTCTGGAATTAGAGCCATTTTGAAAGCATTTACCTATGGAAAAGATGTCTCCTGTCAGGCTGTTGGCACGTTGGGACCCACAGAACCATTTCGGTGGAGGAGACCTCCCAGATGATCAACCTGTGACTGATCATCACCCTGTCACCCAGCCCAGAGCGCTCAGTGCCACATCCAGTCATTCCTTGGACACCTCCAGGGCTGGTGAACTCCTCCATGCTCTGACCCTGCGATGTTCTCACCCCAGAACGAGCTGAAGAAGCCGTTCCAGGTGAGAACTCTCCCACCTCTCTCCGAATTCACTCCCCTCCAGCTCCGAGTTTCCCAGGACTCATCTCCTGCTTCTTGCCGTGAAACGCTGGCTGTGATTAGAGCAAGGAAACCCTTGTCACTCACCCACCAGGCTGCCCTGGCAGAGCAAAGCTCCTTTTCTGTGCCCTGCATCGCACCCACCCACCTCCCCCACGGGGTGGGCCGTGTCTCCTCCCCGGGGGAAGCCCTGCAGCTCCTGTGGGAGTCTGGGGGGTGTGGGTGTTTTTCATCCCAATTAGCCTGCACGCCGCCTGGGTGGTACCAGACACAAGCTGGCGTGTCCTGCGTGGCAGAGGCTCTGCCAGCACAAGAGACTCCCACTGCTCCTGGGGAAAATATCAGCCGTTGGCAAGCCCGGCCCCGGGATTTACAGATACTCGTAATTGTCGTTTTTATTTTAGAAATACGGCTCTGCCCCCGAGGCTGTTTATCGGCAGCCCCCTCTGCGTACAATGCTTGGCTGGCATTTCTCAAACTCAGCCTTTTCAGTAACAGAAGGAGGGTTTTTTGGTTTGTTTTTTCTTTTTTTTTTTTTTTTTTAATTCCCTTTGTGTCATTCCAGCCTGTATCCTTCCATTTTTGGGAGGGAAAAGCTCTGGGATGAAACCCCAGGCCCTTCCTCAAAGGTTGATTTGGGCTCCACGTCCCTGGAGGTGCTCAAGGCCAGGCTGGGTGGGGTTTGGAGCAAGCAGGGCTAGTGGAAGGTGTTGGGAGTTGGACTGAGACGATTTTTAAGGCCCTTCCCAATCCAAGCCATTCCACGAGCCTGTGCTTGTTGTTTTTGTGTTGCTGGAAGGAGAGTGACCAAACCACCCAGAAGGAATGGTGAGCGTTCCCCAGAGTCCACAGCATCCTCCTTAGGTTTGGTGGGTCCTTAGCCAGAGCTCCAGAAACACCTCCCTTCACGAGGCTGTGGGCTGGAATCCCAAAAGGAATTGTCTGGGGTTTCACTCTTAGGCATCACTGCCCAGGGGAGATGCCAACTGCTGTTCCCCACGTGGTTTATGGACGAGTCTCCCAGCTCTTCATGTCTAAAGAACTCGATTCACCACCACCCGCTGGCTTTCTCTTACATTAGGATGGAGGAATAATTATGGGCTTTCCACACCCTGGAGAGATGGTAAGGGAAAAACGAACAAACAAACAAACAAACAAACAAAACCCAAAACCAAAACCAAAACCAAACAAACACCCCCCCCCCCCAAAAAAAAAAAAAAACAAAACAATAAAAAAACTGGCTAAAAACAAGCAGGCTGTGAATTTGCAGGCAAAGTTGTGCAATTAGTTGGGGCCTGTTATGAAGAGTGTGAGAACAGAGTGAAATACAGCAGATGGAGAAGACTCAGCAAACACACGCTTTGCTTGTTTTCAAAACTTTTCAACAGCATTTTTTTTTCCTTTTTTTTTTTCTTCCCCCCTCCCCTTTTCCCTCTGGCTGTTGTTGGATGATCAGTAGTTCCACTTTTGGAAGAGATCTAAAAGCTAAGAAATACAGCTTTGCAGCCAGAGTGAGTTGTAGAGGTGGTTTATCTTCCCTCGGGAGGACCTTTATTTGGATTATAACTGAAGCTCACCCTTTAATATGGGTGGAAAGTTAAAAAGGAGGGTAGATTTAGTTGGGATATTTTGGAATAAATTCTTTGCTGGGAGGGTGGGGAGGGACTGGAATGGAATTCCCGGAGAAGCTGTGGCTGCCCCAGCCCTGGAAGTGTCCAAGGCCAGGTTGGACAGGGCTTGGAGCAACCTGGGATGGTAGGAGGTGTCCCTGCCCATGGCAGGGGTTGGAATTCCATGATCTTTAATGTCCCTTCCAAACCCAAACCATCCTGGGATTCTATGATTAAACGAAAATACTTTACTAACAGAAATTTAGGGCTTGATGCTGAAATACTTTACAAATTGAGACTGAGGGCCAAACTTCTTTTTTACCCCTCAATGTTATATATTTAAAGTAAAAAGAAGCCCTTTGCTGCATAACATTATATCTGTACTTGTCTTCTTTAAGTGGGAACCCTCACTTCAAAGATTTTCCATTTTTTAAGGAAAGGGTGAGGCTTTGAACTCCTTGAAAACCAGCTACAAAACCACCCTTTGCCACCAGTTCTGGGACACTTCAGTGGGGACAGTTCCCTCTCAGAGCCAGAGGAGGTAAATTAGACACCAAATAATCCAGGGAGGAATGGTGAAGGACAAAGATTATTCCCAGATTTAGTTGTGCCTGTTTTGCATAATCATTCTCTGTGACACTGGGCTGTAACTAAATCCCGGGAATCTCCCCCTCCCCGCTGCTCTTGGGCTGACCACTGATCCTGAAATCATTTCTGCACCGGGAAAAGCTCTGACCACCCCCCTACAAACCTCAGAGGGCTCCAGATTTCCAGCATCCCCAAAAGGATTTGGCATCACAGCACTCCCAGAGCTCCAGGATGATGGAAGCTTCTCCCCCATGTCAGGATTTGGCATCCCAGCATTCCCAGATCTCCACACCGATGGAAGCTTCCCCCCCACCATGTTCCTCCCCTCTCAAACCACTTTCCCCTGCTGGGATAAACCCCCCCCCTTGAAATGTCAGATGAGCAGGAGTTTGCAGGTGGCTCCCCCTCCCTGCTGGGGGATATTTTGGGGGGTCCTGACTCACAGGCGGTGCCCGGGGGGGGGCTGCATCACCCACCTCTCTGTGGAGGAGGGCAGGTGGGCCAGGCAGAGCCCCGGCCCCGCGGGGAGGGAGATGCTTTTAGCT